TGGCGGATGGCCAAAGTGCACCTCACAGTTCAAATAAAAATGGAGGAAGTGCATTGTCACAAGCAATATTTCATGTCGCCTACTGATAGTGGAGTATAATAGGCTCCAGTTTCCATGGCTACAATATTTTGTCATACATATCTGAGAACTCTTCACTTATTAGTCAATCATTGGCTGCGGTGGTGCACATGAGAGGTAAACATAATATTTTTATTTTCTTGCCTAGTTTATCTGTGGCCGATCGATCAGGGACTACCGATTCCACTAACTCGCATATGGGCTAAGTCTCGTGTCCATTGGTAGCCACAGGGAAAGGGTCTACTCATGTTGCTTTTATACTATAGTTGACACCAGTTGGGAAGTGGATAGCCTTAAAGTGCGCTACCAAATGTCTTTGTGGGAAACTATCGTTTACTTATTGAATGAAGGCAACGAGCACCTACATAGTAGAATGTCGGTTTCTGGATTCTCTCAGTGAAAGTGTCATGTTTTGGAACCAATACCTTGCACTGTTCGGGTGGTCTGGTACTCCAATCTTCCTGTTAATGTCAAGGATCATGTGGAGTAGGTCATGCAAGCATGTCAACCTCAGCAAAAGTGCGATTTCGCTTCCTTCCAGACCTCACAATGCTGGGTAACCTTGAATTACATGGACTTGTTAAATCTCTCATTCCAAGTTAAATCGAAACTATGACTGGGTAGTAGAAAATGTCATCATCTACACAGTGACTTCATTTTAATTCACAAAGTTTTGTGGAACCCAGCCACCTTTGTCGCCACCTCCAGAAACGCAGCCACAGCCCCAACCTGAAGGGGCCACCAGCTGCCCATATATAGTTGGCTGGTATGTCACCGGAAACTTTTCTGCCAGAACGTGTGAACATTGTCATGTCCACGCTCAAGTTATCCAATTTTAATAATAACTCGACAATGTATTGCCATTTGCAATACTTGATATAATCTGCGTTCATCTGGAGAAGACAAAACGCAAACGAGCGCTGTGCTCACTAGCTCTCATGGAATCGGCGTAGGCGGCTTTACATTTGTCTGAATGGGAATATCATGGTGAATTCGCAGACACGTGGTTTAGCCTGCTGGCAACGTTTTTCGCTGAAGATATGCACCTCACCCGAACCATTCTACAGGATCCTTTAAAGTTTAGTACTTTTATCGTTATTCTGCCATCCTTTTATTTTCTTGGTGCACCCGACTGAAAATGGATCTTCACAAAACATATCATCTGAACTTGTCTACATACTATCTTTGGATAGCTAAAACGTAATTACCAATCCTCGTGTCTACACTGATTTGGTAAGCATATTTTGCAACTTACATTCTGCTCACACAGAAGTCACTTCGTCCATCTTGGGCAGACTTTATGACTAGCAGTTTGAGTGGCTACCATAAAGGGGTTCAAGTCTGGGAGGTTGGCGTAAAGAATCCATAGAGTACTTGAGCTGTTAGTTGCTGTATCGGTTTGCCAAACAATTTACCGCGGCCCCATCAGATAACCAGAATTTGATCTTACCAAACTTAAGGACCTACCACCGATTGAGAGCTACCCGTGCATTACATCCTGAGTTATGACAAATTATCCTGGTTCTCTTCAACAGTGCAAAATGGCGGGTTGGGTGCTTCGACACATTTCCGGGCTTTTTATACTGAATGACCTAGTTATCTTGCTTGGGACTCAGCGATTGTCCAACGCAGGTGACTTTTCGTCGTAACCGATGGGGACATAAAGCTCTTTTTTCTTAGCTGTGTTCCAACTGGTAGGATTTTACTTCACGGTATTTGTTGCATAGGGAGGTGTAATATGTATTCCCCTCGACAAAGTGTTGTTTGAGTACAGGCTGCTCCATTACCTTGACAGTGTAGCTTTGCGACGACGTGCGTTTGCGATGTTGTGCGTGTGTGTGTGTGTATACACACCTTGTGTACATCTGCATCAGGGTAACGAAGCCTTGGCAGTGGTGATTGTTGAACCAATCAGAGAGAGGTGAAATTGCGGTCACATGGTTAAAGGGCCAATCTAGTTGATGCACAGGTCAGAGCTGAAAATTTTGAACGGATGGATGAAAGGTCAGTGGAAACAGAACTACAGGTTCACATGGATTTGAATTGCCATCTGAGGGTGTGCATATGTATGGTAACAGTTAGGAACGCACGAAGTGAGAGTGCGAACGAGAGAACGAGTGACACAGTCAAAGCAGGGAATGTAAGTTAGACGTTACGCACACACACACACACACGTTTCAAATTTGTGACCATTCTCCGTTTCCTTTGGCGTCGTTGAACAGGCAATCGTAGGGGTTGTTTTTTCACGGCTTCATCGACATAGCGAAGTGAGAGAATGGGCGCATACACACACTCGTCTGTACGTCGCAATCATCGCCGCCCCTTACCTCGACCTTGTCATATCGTGGAATCAAAATGCATCGGCACCCTGTGAAACTGAGATACCTTTCCTGGTGTGAAGTCAGGCAGGCTGCATAATTTACA